TGTGTATCTACGTCAATTATTAAAGGTGGACTTGGATCAACATGATTTAATAAAGTTGATTTAATAAAGTGGAAAACTGAATTTTATAATGAAAAGCAGGATACCAATGTGCTTTTTAATCAGTGCATATTGTCTACTGTGACATGGATTAGAAACATCGACACTGACAAATGGAGGTTTAAAAAAATGTAAAATACACACAGAAGCATGGAGAGATGCATGCTGGAACATTCAACAGAACTCAAATACAAATTTGAATGTCAGGAGAAGTTGGCTTTGGCGGGGCACATTGCTAGAGGGGATGAGATGGCCGATGCACGAGACCGGCAACCGATAGAATGGCAACCAAATAATATAAAAACAACTTTTTTTTTAAACACGCTTTAATGAATGTACTAGTAATGGAATAACTCCAGGACTCCAGGAAGTGACCCCGAAGCTTGCCATGACGTAAGGGGCCGTGGTGACTTACAGCCAACGTCAGTTGAGCGTGGACAATTAGACCCAAGCCAAACATAACATATAAAACAATGTTTAAAATATATGTTTTTATTTTTAATGATATAATATAGTATTGTCAGTAGTATGACATAAGTATACCAAGTTTGCAGTCGATACCACATTGGGAAGTGGGTTAAAATTGAGTTACAAGATTTGAGGATACGACAACAACAACGACAACAACAGACAGAGTGAGTTAAATAATAAAAGCGTGTAATAAAAAAGAGAATGTATCTGAGAGGATGACCACCGCGCAGGTGGAGATATTCGTTATTTGAGCGCATGGAAGCGAGATGTATTGTGTTATCGCACGACCGTGAGAGACAGCGATGGTATGGGAAGGCTTTCAATTAGCAGTTGATTAATCATGGCTGTTAACGATGATGATTTGTATCCTTCACACAGCGTCATTATTTTTTAAAGTAGGAATTAGTGACAAGGCTGAGACCATCAAATAGCATGTGGAAAACGTGGATTAATCACTGGTGGGCGAGACCTAGATATGAGCTAAGAATCTCAGCAGTGCTGGATCAACATTGACAAGGGAACCATCCATAATTCTGACATTCTCACTTTTCTCATTCAGGATAAAGGCTACTGCTTTCCCTCTTGCTACTGATTTATTTTGTTAAACCTTCAAATGTGCAAATTCAGTCCATTTCCTGACCGCCTTCATTTGTCACGTTATAAAGTTACGCTGGTACTGTTGTATGTGTCAGTGTATTTATCTGATTACACAATCCCATGCTCAGTTGTAAATTGCATTTATCTCTGTCAAGTCTACACCGGATCTTTCCTGTACACGGAACAATCAAACTGCATTGCATCATATTATATTCCAACAAAGCGTCCAAATGTGGTAAGAACTCACGTGATACACAAGCTACGTATTTTTTGTACAAATTGGACAAAAGGATAAAGGTGCAGCCCTGCAATTGCTTTGCTCGCACAACTGCTAGCAGAAGGGCCTCCACTCTAAATAACTTTAGAGAGACCCTCAAGAGGTTATTTGGCCTACTCTTCCATGCTGGCCAGATACTTTTGAAGAGGTATTGGTTACCCACACTTTAGCCCATCACACGCGCCCTTCCGATTGAAAAACTTCGGTGTAAACAATTCTACTGCTGAATCGGCAGAGACAGAGGGAGGGGAGTCAGAAACGTACACCCATTGTTTAAGAGACCTTGCCTTTTGTATCTAGATTTGAAGTATTCGTGACTGCAGGCTTCCATACTCTTTGGTTCTTTCAGTAAAGTCACGTAGGTAGAAAATAAAATAAATTAAATCACGACGTTTTAGGCGCAACACAAGCGTCCGTCATCAGGTGGGACAACCACAGCAAGAAACAATTGCTGAAGTGGCCTGACTTCATGACATTCATGCTTGCCTTTTGTTTTACAGAGCTAGGTACATTTATGCAAACCATACAATGTGTGTTAATAAATTGTTGCTTGTGGTGTGGCTTTTATAACAGTTGGCACATTGAATAAAGTGGCAAGGTAATGTCTGCATATGTTAAACTGTTAATAAAGAGTCAGAGATATAATATAAATACGGCAAGCATTTTGTCATTTCCAGGGCAATGACATTCACACCTGTGAATGCAGCTCCTATCAGTGAGTCAATGTGATGCTTTCAACACAGAGATTGCAATGTTTTTCAGTGACTGAATATATTTTTTAGAACACCATTTGACTGGCCCCTTTGATTCCACTCTTTTGTAAAATTGCGAGACATCACGTGCGGAATTGCAGTGTTACAACGTTCGCTGCGCTTGACAAGCACTCTATGCACTGTTCGGAAATGCCAAATGCTTTGCAAAACGTCTTAGAAGACTTCCGACTATTACATACACACTGTGCATAATAGTGTGCGTCGATCCTCCGTCTGAAATAGGAGACTGGTAAAGGGCAGTTCGTGGATAATCAAATCCTTCCAGTGAATGTACAATTATTTACTATCAGCAGGCACACGCAATCATACTGGACAGAGCGGAGCCTTATTCATTATATTAAAAGACACAAAAGCACTGTGTTCTGCAGATAAATTTTGTTATATCTCTTGTAAATAAAGATGTCCTGCATAACGAAATCCCATTCCCAAATATAATTATTTGCCAGTTTTAAAAAAATGATAATTTGTACATTTATTAGACTTTTAATTTATGCTCGTTTAATAAAATCTATAATTGTTTCATATATTATGAAGTTGAGTGGAATGTCAGCATCGTAGTTCGCGCACTTGCACTTTTATAATGACGACCGACACACGTTCAATTATACTGGTAGGAATCACCTGGTTCCACCAGCCCACAGGGGATTATTGTGTCCGTCCATCTGTCGTGCATCCAAAAATGGGAGGGGTGGGGCTGGGTGGAGAGGGGAGGGGCTGGGTGGGGAGGGTGGGGCTGGGTGAGGGGTGGGAGGGTTGGGGCTGGGTGGGGAGGGGCTGGTCACCCCGTGGTGCCCTTATAAAACTCACCGTTTAACCTACTCACGCCGGCTTGTGCCCGCCCTCACAGTCGGCCATATTTGCGGAATACACCACGCCGCCGTTGACCCTGGCCATTGACCGAGCAACCCAACGTTCCTACCAGCTCACTCCGCAGGAATGTGTTTTAAGAGCCTTCATTGTGGACAGGATCACTGTCCGCAAGCACAGCTCAGTCTTGTCTCCAAGCGTCCATTCCCCTTGTGCTTCATCCTTTTAATTTCCCTCAGTCCCCCTTGAGATCCCTTTCTAGGCCTCTCTGTACCTCTCCTTTCTCGCCATGGTCTCTCCCAGATTAAGGGGCACCAATCAGAGGCCTCGTTTCACTTGCTCACTGCCCGTGTTTGCACGCACACCGTGTTCACTGTGTGTCAGGTAAGTCCTCTTTTGTGTTTCGATCTTTACACTATTAACTTGGTAACTCGAGTTCAACGCTGTGAAGTATGGTCGAACAACTCCCATGAGCAGCATGAGTGTTTGGAGTCCTTCGTTCAACAGTGGATTGACATAGGGCTGCACATGATTTGTTTCATCAATTAGAAGTCATTATGACGCAGTGTATACATTCCACAATTTGCAAATGACAGTGTAAGCCTTCTCCAGATATCCATTTGGGATGTATCCCATCCCATACCACAAGGTATTATTGCTTTTATGGAAGTACTGAAATAATTATCATCATACTCCCCCTTGTATAAAATAAATACAAGAAACTCAGTGTGCGTGTGTGTGTACTTATATATTTCGGTTGTTGATATAAACATTTTATAATATTATTTTACTGTACAACAAGATGCAATGAGAGTTGTTTTTGCATCCGTGTATGGTTTGTACCGGCGACGCCAGCACACCACACTTAACGTGATGTGTCACCCTCCCATCGTCGACCTAACACGAATACCAAATTAAAGTGACGCGGAGAAAATGTAAACCTCACGTGCCAGGGCTCGGAGATTGATGGGTGAGCACAAGTGCTCTCAGGACACGTTAAAAAAAACATATGTGCATTGAAGTTATATGCAAACATAGTGGCTTTATTTAATCAACATAAAATATTGGTGAAGTGTAGCGAAGATGGTCCTGAGAATCCAGCCATTTTATATTTATTGCCCTATGCATAATGCATGCTGTAAATCAGACTTATAGTTTTATAAATCAGATTTATGTTTCTATCGCAGGCCTTAGAGCCATACGGCCATGTGAGCTTTTGCAAAAGAAATGCGCAATAGTGGTCGACAATTTGCAGTGATGGATACTCCATCGCTGCCCGGTAATTTCTAAGGTCGATTTACCAAAAGCTAGCCACGTCACTGTATTGTGAAGAGGAAGTTTTAAAAGCCCGCAACTTCCCGTCGCTAGAAAGGACGATGGCCGATGGACGCGACTGGTGACAGAATGCAACCGGAGGGAAAACGTTCCGAAAGGACGATCAACCTGGAGATGGAGCAATGAAATCAGCTCATGTGCAGCAGCGAGATGAATTGTGGCATCACAAAAACCGGTCGGTATGCTGTGACAGCATGCCAGAGCCTTCGACCGGCAGTGGCTAGGACGTGGTTGCTGAATAGCGCAGCGAAGGTGAAGCCTTTTCGAAACCCCTCCGATTTCTCCCCAAACGCAAAAACACCCGGCGTGGATTTTTGTGAAAAATTAATATTCAGCTGAGGCGAGCTGAGTGTAAGACGATGCTAATTCCTACGCAGTTTATGTGCAGGGAGGACGCGGAGGGAGGGGGGAGGGCGCAAATGGGCAAGGCAAGCGGCGTGGTGCGTTTGAGTGCCAGGCTCTGCAGGAGCTGCTTGTCACCCAACATCTCAAAATCATGGATTGAAGCTGCCCTCAGGAGGAGATGGTTGCAGTCAGTGATCGAGGCGGAGGGTCACAAAGGAACGCGTCGTGGCGCTGCCAACGGGCGAGGGAGGGCGGGGTTCAAGCTGCTGTCGAATGTGATTCGAGGGGAAATGTTTGAATAACCGACCCACCCCCTGTGAACAACCCCGACTATTGGTATGGCCCGTATTGAGAAGGTCGCCCCTCCATATCCACCACCTCCAGAATGCGACGACGCGAAGGCGGGCGATAGGGTGGGTGGGGGAGCTCACACGGAGCTGTGGAGGAGGCGTGCGGAGGTTAAGAGAGCCCGGGGGTCAGGATGACAACAAGATGAGAGCCCTTTTAGCAGGCTATCAAAGGTATCCATATATGGCGACACTCTTCCCCCGGCACCCATCAGCGGCGTTCTCATGGTTTACAACACATTGTCCTGCGGAGGGAGCTGGTAGGAACGTTGGGTTGCTCGGTCAATGGCCAGGGTCAAAGGCGGCGTGGTGTATTCCGCAAATATGGCCGACTGTGAGGGCGGGCACAAGCCGGCGTGAGTAGGTTAAGGGCACCACGGGGTGACCAGCCCCTCCCCACCCAGCACCACCCCACCCTCTCACCCACACCCAGCCCTTCCCCCACCCTCCCACCAGCCCTCCCCACCTCCCCACCCTCCCACTCCACCCTCCCCACCAGCCTCCTCCCTCCACCCTCCCCCCCAG